CAGAAGAATACCTAGCTGCTTGAGTTTCAGAAAATTCGCATACCCTAATTCATCAAATTCGGCTCCTACAGTAAAGATTTCGAGCATCAAAATCTGATCAGAAGAAGATTCCGAGCATCAAAAGAAATTTGTGGAGCCGAGATCTACTTTGCAAAGCTGCACCCGAAATCTGTATTTTGAAGCTCACCCGAAATCATCTATATTTTCGATGACCCAAATTTTAATTTCAAAGTGAGTCTGAGTTCACAAGTTTCGAAATCAACTACCCCGAAATCCTAAATCTCGAAGGAGACCCGCGATTACCATATCGATCCTCCGTATCACACCCAAGTTTCAGAATTCGGGCCTCCATCAGATAAAAGAATTCGGGCATTCTTCAAAAAAATTCAAATCTCGAGTATCAAATACTTTGAACCTCCCACCCGTGATCTCTTTCTCGGCACTCTCTTCTTCTATAACAATACGCATCAACGTTCATTCAACAGTCAACTTTCCCCTTTTGCAAGTGTCTTCACTGTTTTGGCTATGACTTTTGACTCGGTGGTCCGAATTTAGTCATCTTTACCTTGTCGGAAACGGGAAGAAGAGATCTACGTGACTCCCTGGGTGTAACTCGGAACCCATTCTAACACGCCCTCGCTCTCCCTATTCGATCAATATATCACCCGTTTTCCGAAAGACATTGTCAATCACCAGTCAAAGTCAAATCAGAGGCAAATTTGGTAAATTCTTCCAAAAGTCAAAAGCTCGTCAAAGCTATAATGTAAAGGAGACAATCATCAGTGGCTTCCTACTTTAACTCCTTAATGCTCTCAAACAACGGATCAACCACATTATCTGATGAGTTCCAGGTAAGTACTTCTAATTCCAATCTCATTGAACAAAATTCCTCTTTAATGAAAGAGAGGAATAAAATAAAGGAACTTGAAGAGAGGCTTGCTAATAATCAAAGATGTCTCGAAACACATTTAGAGTAGGAAGGACTTCTTAATATGCGCTTAATAAATTCACAAGATAAAGTCACTGGTTTAGAATCTGAAGTAACTAAACTTAAGAAAACTGTTTGTGACTTAACTAAGGATCTAGATGAAAATAAGCTAAATCATTCTGAAGTTGTTATATGTTTTGAAGAACTGCATATGGAACGAAGTCGTCTCAACACTAAAATCAAGGGGTTAGAGAATATTCTTGCCAAGAGAGGACAATCTGAACAAATTGTTTTTCTTTTAAATAATAAACCAAAGGACACTTAATTTTATAACCCTATAGAAGGACTAGGCTTTCAAAACCCAGGTAACATAAAGAAAGTTAATTGAAAGCAATTTTATGACATAAGGTACATGAAGTTAGGGTTAGCCAATTTAATGTAGTTCTTCACTAGTGTTTCTGAAATTAATGAGGAAGAAGAGGACTAAAGGATGAATATAGCTAATTAGCTAGTGTTTCTTCACTTGTCTGTGAAAGAACTGGGAGACTTTCTTCCGGAACATGAACGAGTATCATAAAGCTGAAATTAATTTCAATTACACTACACTTAATGAAAGCTATGCTACTAGACAAATTCCCCTGATGAATATTTTGCCCTCTTCCCTCCAGAAAATCAAATTGTGTCTAGTGAGGATGAAGCCTCCACATCTAAAGTTTCTGAACCATACATTCTAGAGATCATTAAGAAAATTGCCGATCTTCACACATCTCTGGAAAGAGAAAGAAATGTTTTTAAAGAAGAAAAGGAAAAGCTTTTAAATGAAATATCTTCTCTCAAAAAGAGCAGCCCCTCAACAAACACAACACCTACCTCCTCTCCTATTTCTAAAAGCAATTTTTCAAAACCTCCTAAACAAGCTTCTAAAGAAAAAAGGTTCATTCTCTTACTCTCATTTTGAAAAACTGAAAGGTAATGTTCTTAATAAACGACGAGAGGATGACCTAGATTTTCAAACAAACTCAAAAGGAGGCTTGATGTGAGTTTTCTCGCACTTAAAGTAGATTGTAATATAGTGGTGTAAGTACGAGTATCGTCTCCACAGGGACGGACAAAAGGGAATCAAAGATTAACTAAATTCAGCGATTAAAAAGAAATAAATAAAAATGCGTCGTGCGAGATTGGTTGCTGGAAAATAAAAATGCGAATAAAACGATTAAACTAGGGGGTTCTTTCTAATTAATGACGAAGGGAACATGGATTGATTCCGGGGTAACCAGATTTCTGGCTGATCAAGCCTAATTACATGAAATTAATTTAATTGAGCCTAGCAAATCACTACTAAGTTCTTACCGCTCTCGCGGCGTAGAGTACAATAAATTAGGGGATTAGGTTGATCTCTCATGCAACAGGATCCTAAATTATTGCCAAGAAGAGCGAGCTTACGGCCCTTAATCGCTACTAATCTCTTAGCGAACGATTAAGTGTGTGTGAATGTGTCCTAGAATAAATTAGATCTTTCTTAATTTATTCTACAAACAATTGTAATTCTAGCGGCCGTTCTAGGTTACAAGAGATATCAGTTAAATTATTGAAACACAAATTCAACGACATTCATGCAATTAAACCGAAAGGAATCTAGCCATACATCATGATCAACCCCTTCATCAATCCCAAATCCCTAATTAAAATTACTCACAATTCATAATTGAAGAATCAATAGAATTGGAATAAAAAGAATTAATTGTCATTAATTAAAAAGGTGGAACTTATAAAGAATCCCAAAAGATTGATGAACAAGGCTGAAAATGTGACAACCTCAATTTCTCACAAATGAAAATTTCATGATAAAAAGTAAATAGATAAAACTTTATAATAAAAGAAAAAAAAATAATAGTAGTAATATAAGCTAACTCTCAATTCGTAATGCACAAAATTTGTGGAAGTTGACTTAGCTTGCCACATGTAAATTCCTTGGGAAAACTCATAAAAGAACTAAAATAGCTAAACAATTAAATCTAAATAACTAAGTATGCCACTCGTCCATCATCATGCAAACTCAACTAATACTAAGGACACTTGGCACACCAAATGTGACAAATGGAATAAAAAAACACAAGCCATGTTGCCATGCATCATAGATATATGGGGACACATGCTTTTGAATTATACATATTACTGGGAGTGTAAAAAAATAAACAACATAGAGGGCCGAGAGTTATGATGCCAAGGGAGGAAAAGCTAGGAGAAAGGAGGGAGATAGGAGGTTAGGAGGGAAATAAGGAGTAAAAAGCTTGCTTAAATTTTAAGGTCTGTGTTCATTCCCTTCTCAACTTAAATTTAATTGTTTTATTCTAAATTTATTGTTAAATGATTACATTTATTCATTTACTAAATTGTATCATTTACGTTTTGATATATATGCTGTTCGATTATGCTATTTAATTTCAATATTGATATTTTCTTTTTATAGTTATTACTTAGTACTCCGTATAATTTAGTTGACACGCACTTAGCTAGAAGCTAGATCAGAATTCCATATTTTTTTTTATGATCAAGAAACGGTTAGTAGCAAGGTTTATTGAAAGCTCAAAATGAAGGTTTGGATAATATGTGGTTGAGGAAAAAGAAAATTATACTAGCTCTAGAAGTATTTTAATTTACTTTTAAATTAAGATTCCAGCATTTTCTTTGTGGTAAATGAATTAACGTAATTTTTTTTTAAAACTTGAAATTTCTACCTCATATGCAATAAGCAAACTTTTCAAACTTTACTTATAGATTGAACATTACGGTCTTTTTGTAATTCATAAATATACAATTGTATAATAAATCATTACTTGTTTTTTAAAAAAAAAATGCATCGGATTGAAGTTATAAGTATAAAAGTACATTGAGAAATCTGAGAGTTATACCCGCCATATTAACTATTCAGCAATTTATATTTTTAATAATGATAAATGATTTTCGGAATTATCTAGCTATATATATATATATATATATAATACTGTCTGACATTTTAATAAGATTGATTATTATCTAATAACTTATATATAATGATAACAAGATACAGTCAAAACTACAATACTAACATTAAATTTGGAACTTTACGAACTACGTATACTTTATTTCCTAATATTTACAATTGTCTATGTTGTAAAGATAAGCAATGACTTAAGGTGATCAATATCATTGAAAAGAAAATGGCTTGCTTTCTTTGGGGATCTTTTAATGAAAGGAGAAAATATCATTGGGTGAAATGGTCACATCTCTGTTTCCCAACTGAGGAGGGGGGACTTGGTATTAGAAGTCTAGCAGATATTGAAAAAGCTTTCTCTCTTAAGCTCTGGTGGAAATGGAAGACACAAGATTCTATTTGGGCTAATTTTTTGAGAGCCAGATATCCTAGAGGCACAAATATGGTCCCTAAAGTCTATGATTCCCCTATTTGGAGAAGGATTTGCTCTATTAATGAGCTTGCATATTCACTAAGTGGTGTAAACACTGATGGTAGTCTATTTTGGGAGCCTACTGCTACAGGTATTTTCACTCTAAAATCTGCCTATGATGAAGTTAGGGAAGAGAGGCCTTCCTCCTTTTCAGCTAAGCATAGTTGGCACTCTAAGCTTCCTTTAAAGATTAATATTTTCCTCTGGAGATTGCTTAATGGGACTCTGCCTATTTCAGATAATTTATCTAGATTTCAGAGAGTAATTCTTCCCTCTATTTGCCCTCTGTGTAGAGCCCACTCTGATACTACGGATCATGTTTTTTATACCTGTATCAAGACTAGACCAGTGTGGGATTATTTCATGAGGATTCTTGGAGTTTCTATACTTCACCAGACAAATTCTATAAGACATATACTCATTTCTTGGTGGATACAGGCGGGTTCTAAAACCCTTGATGATATCTTCAAACATTGTTTGCCTGGAATTATTGGATGGTATATTTGGAGAAACTATACTTCTCTGGTGTGGGGTACTACTGATAAAAGTCCTACTCCTGCATCTATTGTACATCAGGTTAAACAATTTACTTGTAATTGGGTCACTACTACTAAACATAAGAGATTATTGAACGCTGGAGACATCTTATATGAAGAGCACTTGATACCAAAAGATTTTAGGTTGTGTAAACCTATGATAAAACCTATTACATGGCAGATTCCGAAGAATTCTCTCAAGCTTAATATAGATGCGAGCTACTTATCTTATCACGCGGCTGGGGGCGCTATTTTGAGAGATCGCGAAGGAAAACTAATTATTGCTTCCTCATTTCTGGTCTCGGCTTCGTCTTCATTTGAAGCTGAGCTTGCAGCTGTCCTTCACGCTACTTCTTGGGTGATATCCCTTGGATTTCGTGGCTTCCAGGTTGAATTTGACTCCATGGAGGTGTTCGAACAGTTGCAGCGAAGAAGGGTTGGAAGGAGAAGAGATGAGATTAATCGATTGTTGGATTTGTCTGAAGCGAGTGATGTTTCCTATTCCGGTATTTTGAGAGAGGCTAATTGGACCTCTCATTTCTTAGCTACTGCTGATATGGGTCGGCCCATGATTATCAATAGAGTGGCGGATCTTCCTTCTCAGGCTCGAAATGCTTACTATTCCGATTTATTTGGGCTGCCCTCCTTGAGATTAGCCTATTAAATCATTTCATTCTGTTTTTGCACTGCTTTGGTCTGGTTTGTTGAATTTTACTACTTCTGTTTTACTTTTGGAGAGGTTTGGTTTGGCCCCCTTCTCCGCTTGTACTCTTATCTTTTTATTAATAATATACTCTGGCAGCTGACCCCCCGGCATCTGCCCCACTGATTTTGGTGGTTTGCCTTCCGGGGTAAAAAAAAAAAAAAAAAAAAAAAAAAAAAAAAGCAATGACTTAAGGTTCATATATATGTATAGGAGGTATATCCGTATATGAGATATTAATAAGTTATGATTTTACCTAATATGTACACTTTATTTTGTAATCCGATACTAGTTTCATTATAATTTATTTAAATATTAAATCAGGAAATTTTTTATAAGTCATAAATATGTTCTGTCTATCTTAGTAGATTTCAAACGATAAAATTTACACGGCACTTGTAAACTGCTACATCTAAATCGGAAAATTTTACATAAAGAAAATAAAAATAAAAATAAGTTGATTCATAAATAATAAAAGAAAAACTTTCGATATGATTCGGATAGAGAGTTTAATCAAATAACATACTTCGTAGTATTGAAAATAATAAAACATACAATAGCATCGGATCCTAAGAGAATGAATAAATTAAAGTGGGAATTGAAACTTTGCTTTGGATTGGATAGGTTGGCATGCCAATAGGGATAGTTAATACGGCCGTAGAATTTAATTGATTAATTTCGGGTCCGCAGCCACGGAGTGGACAGTACCCGAATTATGACATTAAATTATGGGTCCGCAGCCACGGAGTGGACAGTACCCAAATTTTGAAACTCGATCGTTTAGGGTCCGCAGCCACGGAGTGGACAGTACCCAAACGATAGGCCTGACTCACACAACGGTCAGTGCTGATACTACTCAGATGGTCCGCAGCCACGGAGTGGACAGTACCAGATGAGGAATGTCCCGTTTATCCAGTCCATTAAACTAAGAAGTAATATTCCTGAAAATAAGAAACGTAAAGGAATTTGATTTGGAAATGCAAGTTGAGAAAATCGGAATGGTATATTGAAAAGGAAAAATGCTAAGTGCATAAGAAGTATATTTTAATTTGTTATACTCTATATTCTGAAAATTTTGGAAAAATGATTGTTGTGATCAAATTGGGTTATTATTTTGATGACATATTAACAAGCTACATTATCTATGAAGAAAAGTTATATTCTCAATTCGGATTTATAAGCTGCTTTGTTATTATATTGTTACAAATTATGTTGGTTTATGGTGACACATTTTACATTGAGAAAGAATGAACACCACTAAGCAAGATTTGCTTAGCGCGTTGGATTTTTGTCCTTCGCGTAGGTCAATAAGAAGTGTTGCGAGCCGGAATTCAAGTTGAGGAGCATTTGGGGGAGAAGCAGCCAATCACTAGAGTCACATTTAATTTGCACAAGTAGTAATAACTCATCCCTAGTTTGCATAATAAGTGCTCATTAGCATATTATTAAATAAACATGAGATAGAATGATGAATTTTCATGGATGTATTTGGTTATTCCAAAATTAGAACTACTTGATGTGTAATATATTTATGCTTCCGCAATCTATGGACTTTAATAAAATATGTTAGTATTCTTCTTTAAAATTAACTAAAAGTATAAATAATAAAGAGATAGTTAGTCAACGCTTTGGTGCTTCGGCACTGCGGGTAGCGCTCCCTGCCCGATCCTTCCGGGCTGGGTAGGGGGTGTTACAGAAAAGCCCTCTAAAATTAGTGCTAGGCACTCTCTCTAAGCTCCCCCTTGAAAACGGGGGTTTACAGGCTGTTTAAATAGAAAAATCGGGTGAAATTTGAGCTGAATTGGGATTTCCGGAGGCAGGCACGGTGACAGGCACGATCGTGCCTACGGAGCATAAACGCGCATTTTGGGCAGGCACGATCGTGCCTCCTTGCAGGCACGATCGTGCCTGGTTGGCGGTAACTCCGCGGTGCTTTCTCTTCACGCACGATTGTGCCTGACTTTGAGGGCACGATCGTGCCTACTTAACTTTCGAATTTGGCAATGCTTCCTTCATAAAAGTTGTAGATAATGCAGTCCTCTATCCACCCCAATTCACCGAATGTGATTTGAATCATCCAATCAAGAGATATGATCAAAATGGTGGAAGGTATCATTCTGAAATCGCAGCAGAGATCATCTGACTTCATCGTCTGTTTTCACCTTCTTCCTCTCAGATTCTAGCAAAGATGTCTTCATATGATTTGTATCCCTTGAAGTTAGCTTTCATATTAAACTTTCATCGTGTACATTGGATTCTTCTACAAATAGATATGCTTGAATGATTGACAGAAGGTCATCTTGATCGTCGTTTTCAAGCTCTATTCAACTTCTTTTGATCCCGTAGCCAATCCTAGAGCTCTTTTGTCATCAAATCTTCATCGTAAACCTCCCGCTGACCTCCAAAGCTCTCAATCCACTCTCGAATGCATCTCGAATCATCCGATTGCTCCTCAAGTGCCGGTGCCGAACTCTAAATTCACGACTTTGACTCCAAATGACACAAAACTCGAACCAACGCCCGGTAAACATAACTTGAGCTAAAATTGAGACTTGTGACACCTTAAAGCTAGGAAAACCATCAAAAGACGATATCAACATGCATCAAATTCGTGTCTAAATACGGAATTATCAAGTCTGCAAGAATCAACATGTTTTCTGGAAAATCAAAATCTCTTTTTACTAAGTCATGTAGTACTTTCAAGGATACTCGTTCATGTTCTGGAAGAAAGACTCCCAGTTCTTTCACAGACAAGTCCTCTAAGTCTTCTACTGATGATTCTACTCATGTGAAAACTCATTCTAGTGCCTCGGTTAATGAAACCGGGCAGTCTTATACTTCAAGAAATCATTGTGATGTGAGTGATGAGAAATCTAAACAGAAGAGGTTTAAATCCTCTACCTATGATGTTTGTGATGATGTTCACTTGAAATATCCTCTCAAGGTTTATTCACCCAAACATTTGAAGCGTTTATCAACGGATAAAATCTTTACTTCTCAAAATCATATCCATCATTCACCTGCGTTGAAACTGTTATCGTTCAAATATGGATTCCTAAATCAGAATTACAGTCATATAGCTCTGCAAAAGCTTCAAAAGAGATTGGTTTAGGAACAAAAATAAAACAAAATTTTCACAATTTATGTTATTCAAGAAAGGACAGACCCATCCTTAAATGGGTACCAAAGGTATTAATCCATTGCAGGTGTCCCTCATGTGTGGTACCTGATATGTTTGCTCCACACACATGATGGGAAATTGAGCTGCTATCAACAACCCCTTGGCTTCAGAGTAAAATAGCTCAAAACCCGCACTACACTTGAGCTTCTGGATACATCAGTCCAAAACCCGATATCATATAAATGCTTATCAACACCGCAATTCAGAATCCACAATCACAAGACGTATCATACGTCAAGGGGGAACAATGAAGAAATCTTTTTCCGAGCTTCCAATCAAGTTCAACAGCAGATCCCAATGCACCTATTCAAGACAAATCATTCTTTAAGGGGAGCAAACATGCATGTTTTGAGAGGAAGTGTTTCTTTTTTCACTTCTACTGGTGCCATACAATGAAGAAAGCACGTACCAATCTACAATGACTCAAAAAGTGCGATTACAATAAAGATCTACCCTACTCGACTTCTCATTCCCAAGTTCTCCAAACCTAAGCCTTACTCGAATTCTCAACGACCGAGATCCTCACCTGAGGTTGCCAACGAAGTCTCTTAGCCTTAAAATCTCTCTTAACCCCCCGAGTTTTATCACCTGAGATCATCACACGTGATTACTGCTGAGATCTACACCTGAAATCCCCTAAGCCCAAAGCCCCTGGATCTCACCTGACGTCCCCTTTCTGAAATCTTCCATATCCAAAATCCTTATGCATGAGTTCCTCTTAGCCTAAGTGACCTAAATTCAAGCCCATTTACCTATAGCCCCATTACCTTATCCGAATAAACCAAATCTTAGCCAGATACCCTTTAGACAAATACTTAAGTCCATTTAATCAAAACTGAGCCCAATTTATCTTAAACCCGAGCCCAAATACCCAATTAACCTATCTTTAACCCAATTAATCTTAATCCTAATATATGTTTTATCTGTGCAGTACAGGTATACATGTCACTTATTTACGAGGAAGAGGTTTAGCCGAAAGAGAGTTGGATTGAAATCAAAGATAATAATTACCTACTGACCCAGATGTGTTCAAATGCCATGACATGATCATGGTACACATTCTGAAGGAACACTCACTTTGGCCAGTTCTCAATCTGTCTGCAAAAGTTCCAAAAATATACTTAAGACAATTCCGGGGAACTCTGCACTCAGTAACCACCGCTCCCATTCCTACCTTTGAAGCCACCATAGCCAACTCCAACGTCCAAATTACCCATGATACCCTCACAAACCTAATCCACATCCCCACATCTATGTAATATGACCCTTTTCCATTCAACCAAAATCTACTAGCTGATTTGCTCAAAATTGGTCATCTACCACCTCTCACCCTTTTCGCCCACTTCATGGTTAATCGCTTACCAAATCCCTGGAGATAATCTTTGTTTGCCATTCTTAATAAGTGCTTATCACCGAAACAATCATGCCACGATTGTTGCAATGTTCATATGTTTAAGCTGGTCCATGGGGTAATGTTTGCCGAGAATTATGACTGGGCGCAGCTTATCTGATCTGAAATTCTTGAACAGATCAACAATAGAGGATCTGAGAATAAAGTTAAGTACACCTCATATGTACGGTGGTTCTCTATTATAATTGATCATTTCAT